CGATGTACTAAAACGTGCACACGATTACTATTTCGTTCCCTCGATTTGCTAAATCGTGCACACAATTTACTAATTCGTTCTCTCGATTTATAAATCGTGTGCACGATTTAGCAAATCAAGGGAACTAATTAGTAAATCGTGTGCACAATTTATAAATCGAGGGAACAAATTAGTAAATCATGCGCACAATTTATAAATTGAGGGAACAAAGGGAACAATTTAGTAAATCGTGCACACAATTTATAAATCGAGGGAACGAAATTGTAAATCTTGTGCACAATTTATAAATCGAGGGAACAAATTAGTAAATCGTGCACACAATTTATAAATCGAGGGAACGAAATAGTACATCGTGTGCACAATTTTATAAATCGAGGGAACGAAATAGTACATCGTGTGCACAATTTTATAAATCGAGGGAACGAAATAGTACATCGTGTGCACAATTTTATAAATCGAGGGAACGAAATAGTACATCGTGTGCACAATTTTATAAATCGAGGGAACGAAATAGTACATCGTGTGCACAATTTTATAAATCGAGGGAACGAAATAGTAAATGGTGCGCACAATTTATAAATCGAGGGAACAAATTAGTAAATCGTGCACACAATTTATAAATCGAGGGAACCAAATAGTAAATCATGCACACAATTTATAAATGGAGGGAACGAATTAGTAAATCATGCGCACAATTTATAAATCGAGGGAACGAAATAGTAAATCGTGCACACGATTTAGCCTGCTATTTTTTTTCCTGCATGCCATGCGGGGCTCCGTATAATAGTGAACAAGACAGTTTAATTAAAAGCAAGTACTTTGCTTTAGTATGTCAGCACACCAAAAAGTGTATTTCTTTCACGCATATCAAACATAATTTTAATAAAACATAATGATTTCAAATTGACTGTAAATTAAAACTCTTAATCTGACATTATTACAAAGTGCATTTTTTAAAAGTAAACATAAGCGTGTTAGGAAACATTGTCATGAAAGTGTACTTATATTTTATATCTATATTTTATGATTTGAAGTACACTAAAACTGTACTTTCAGTACATCAAGTGCACTTCTTTTTCACAAGTGTAGATTTGGTTGGCACATCTTTTTCAGATGTTGACCGTGCTATTTTTGATTAAAACTGAAGCATTTTTTTTAAGTTGCCCTGGATAAGAGCATCATCTAAAAGCTTTAAATCACTTGTTTGTACAGTATAGTAATATTACCTTACTTCATCATCACTCCATGAACACACGTACTAAACGAAAATGTTCTCTACTCCAAATCAGCTCATGCAAATGCATTGAGATAGATGCGAATAAATGTGGATATTTTCCTGTGTAAAGGCACCAGAAGAGCAGCCTATTGTTTCTTACTGGAGATCCCGGCTTACCTTGAATGTAATGAATGAGGATTTCACCTTCAACAGTGCCGCGGTGCCCAGCGACCTTCGCCGCTATATGAAAATGTGAGTCAATGTCTGAAACATAGATAATCTGTGTCTAATATCTTATCTAGACTTCCAACACTTTTTGTTTCACTTTCATTTGATTTTCTCAGAGTTGAAGATGGAAAAAAAGGAAAAAAATACATTTTATCTGCCACTGCTACTGGTTGATGAACTAAGAAGCAGATTAAATGACTTAATTGTATGTAAAAACGTTTAAAATGCATAAAATTACAGTTTTGAGTTTGCTTTTTGAATGCACTTTTACATGTTAAATTGCACAGGAGATGAACAGCCCCACAAAAGCAGTCCCTCTGACAATATCATATGACACCATTACCTTACGCAAGTTCAGAATATGGATCCACATACAAGCTGTCATATACTCACTCAAACATTTTGGTAAGTCACATACAATGCCTTACATATGCATCATATACAGAAATAATCCAGTAACAAGATTCTTTCAGATGTTTAATTCAGTATTATTATTTAATTTTTTTCTTGCAGGATTTTCGGAGCAAAATCTTGATGAAATTAAAGCCATGTTTGTTGAGAGTTTGTTTGTTTGTTGTTGGCTGCATGTCTTGGCTTTGTCTGTTTTAGTGCCTGCATTCAATGTAAAATGCTTTATAAATACTTATTTCATGTACTTAATCTGTTTATTATGTGTGTGTGTTTATATATAATGCAATATTCTGTTTCACAGCTCTCATTTGAAATCTTTGCCTTCAAGAATGACACAGTTTTGGCGAGAAAAGAAGAGTTTAGCTGACATTTCTAGAAGATCAGGTACTAAATCACGAATAATTTGCCACAGATGGGGAAAAAAAAGTGGCTATAAAATTGTGTTTCTCTGTCTCTGCAGTTGCGTGGAGATGTTTCAGCAGCATCGTAATATTCCTCCATCTACGAGAAGAACAATCCAGCTGGCTGATTCTACTTCCCACTTGGATCTCAGCTCTAATTTAAGTATAAAAATAGATTAAATGTGCTAATTTTGGACTGCTGGCATTTATTTATGTTAAAACCAATTTAACTGAATATGAATCCTCCTCTACTATTATTGAATTTGTAGTTATGGAAAGTGAAAAAGGTCTTAGCACTTTCACCCAAATTTCATTAAGTGTTTATTACTTAAACTCAGTAAGCACAGTATGGCCTTTTTGATGAATATGCTACACGTCTTACTCATTCTAAGGTGTTTTCTTGAAGGATGAAAGAATGGATGATTTTGAGCGAGCAACGGAAGACTATGATTCAAAGGTATGAGCAAATTCTTTTTTAAACCATTTCATTTTGCTCGTTGAGCTATTTTGTTTCTTATAACCCCTGTTTCCTTCAGAGTTCGTTCCTTTAGAATTATTCATCTCATTCTATGACACTGTTGTTTTGCCTGGAAATATGTATTTTCCATCGAATCAAACCCGCCGGAGCAGATGTAGACAAGAATGACTCCTAAGCGATTGAGATGTTCTCTTGTTGGATGTAATAATGAACATAGCAGTCGTCATTTACTCCCGATATCTGAGCCACTGAAGATGCAGTGGAATACATTGTTTCTGAAGGGAATGCACCCCCCCCCCATCTACCTAAATGCGTCTATGTTCGCGCAAATCATTCGTGATCCAGCTTCACCTACAGAAGAAGTGAGTATAAGGTTTTTTAATGAATCTTTGCAAATCGCCTTTCCTAATAATGTGCTAATTAGCAAGTTTCACGATGAATGCAGCTAAAGTAAACAGTCCTTCAGAGAGCAGCTCGGAAGACGGGCGGGGTCAGCAGAGCTCATTAACATTTAAAGGAAAATGCTACAAAACGGCTTGATCTGAAAAAAGCTGTTTTTGACAGGGTAAAAGGGTGTTGTTTTACACTACCATTGAGAAACTTTAACCAAACTATGTTACAGACTTTTCATTAAGACCCTAAAGAATCATATCAACTTGTGGAAAATGGTCATGCAATGACCCCTTTAAGTAGTTTCACGTGGTCTTTCTTTTTACTTGTACAGGCCATGAAGTTCTTGTTATATCTGATGTATCCGTTGTGTATCAGTGGGGCCATATACTCATACTTATATCTCCAAAATAAAAGGTAACATTATCCACTAATGAACTATAATTACATTATGCATTCATTTTTTAATTTAAAATACTGTGGATTTGGAAAGTTTGTGAACCCTTAAGAATTTTCTGTAAGTTTGACCTACATTGAGACTGGATCTACCTGTAACTAGACAAATACAAGTCCAGCTAAACTAATAACTCAAAAATATAGCAAATATTTACTCATTTATTAAGCAAAATAATCCAGCTTGTGAATATCTTTGCTGTTATCTGGTGTAACACCCTTGAGCAGCTATAAAAGCAACCAAACTGTGAATCAGTTCTATATATCAGCATGGAAGAATTTTGGCCCATTCATACTGATAACAAATTCAGAAAAAAGGTCCACAAACTTTTAGCGCCACTGTAAATATATATAAATATATGTATTTATGTTTCATTATGTTGTCTACTCCCAATAGTTGGTACTCTTGGATAACCAATGGCCTTATTAGTGGTAAGAGCTTTAATAATAAAAAGTATTAAAGAATTATTGAGTTCTCAATGCACACTTTATTACTTACTGTATGAAAGAAGGGAAAATAATAGTTCCTATTCTTTTGGTGTTCAAGGTGTTTATGCATTTGGATTTCTGTCGATGGTTCCTCAGTTGTTTATCAATTATAAGGTTTGTTTATAGACCAGTCGTAAAATACAGTTCAACTACAGTTGTCTTTTACCTGTACTGTTTATTCTGAATGTTCCTTGAGTGTGTCTTTTGCTTTTATCCACAGTTAAAATCAGTGGCTCATCGGCAGGTGCCCATCTTTATGTATAAGGTACATTGTAGTTTAATGAGAAATCAGTTTTCCTTGAACCTTTTGAACAAAAGAGTTATTTTTATGAAAATACTAAAACATTCAGGAACTCACAACTTTCTTCCTAGTCCAAAAAGTCCATATAAACTAAGTGGCCTTTCACACAGAACACATTTTTGCATTCCACTGCACTGCTTTTCCATTGTTTTTCTATGTAAACATGAGCTTGACAGACGTCTTTGATAAGCTTGCGTATTGCATCTTTTTTTTTTGCATGACATTATTTTTTCTATTCCACTCCTCCGCCTCTCAAACCCCCAAGAAAAGAATGTGCAAACAGGTTGTACAGGGTAGTAACAAAGCAGCAATAGAGGTAAAAAAGTAAATAAAATATTACAGAAATTGCTGCGTGCAATATTAAGTGTCATGGTGCAGGACGTGAGAGATGGCATCTTCAGTAGATCTGTTGGGACGATTGGCAAACTGAAGAGGGTCTAAAGTATCAAGGATGGAGGAGCAAATGTTGTTCTTAATAAGTTTCTCAAAGACCTTCATGACTATTGACGTCTAACAAAAACATAAAAACAACTGTGGAGCATGCCACGGAGGCAGCCATCAGCGTCGGCGCCATCGTAAGAATGGTGCCGAATTGGTAAAGACCTTATTGGTCGTAAGAATTGGTAAATTAATAATTTACCAATTATTAATGGTAAATTAATACATTAATCAGCGACGTATTCAGTGGAATAATAACCACTCCTGGTTGGCTTGCTTCAAGTTGGCTTGCTTCAGAGATGATGTGGTCTTCCTCATCTACCTCTATCAGCGCAGGTAGGGAAAACATAAAATTGGTGCATGTGGCATTGGATGAAGGAGTGGACAAGTACATTTGTAAAAAGTATATATACACTCCCTTTTTAACCCAGCGCTGGGTTATATTTAACCCAGCATTTTTTAGAGTATATAATGTATACAATATATACACAAACAAACTTGACTGTAGTTTAAATTATCAGTAGCTTTTAGCTTTATAAACTACAATTACAAAGTAGTTTCCCATTCTTTATTGCGAGTACAATATGGCTCAATTGTGTTTAATTTCTCTGTCTTCAGGATTTATAAAGTGAGCAAGTCCAGGTCACGTGATTACGGGGCGGCACACAGGAAGAAGCCCAAAGGAAAGCCACATGAAGACTAAGCGTCCGCAGCGTTGTCTGACAGCTTGTGCGCTCCATGCATGCAATACAAGAGAAACGCTGATACAAAAACTGAAGAAGGGCATTACAGTCACTGAAAGTTCTCTTTGTGTATCCTTGGAATGAGCCTGCCTCCTGCTGTCTGCTGCGAAATCCCACAGAGCCACACTTCCAGTACACTCATTTCTACTCGAACAAGCCAGAGCTGAAGAGATTAGCAGCACACACCTGCTTTAGACTAAATCCGTGTGTAATAGTCACTCAGGCCAATCCTACCAACAATTAAAAAGTGACGTAAGCTCTGAAGGAAACTACAGCAACACCCACCTGTGCTTTTATAACCTCTGAACGAATGACAGCAATGGCAATACCTGTGATTACCGCATCGACACTACTGTTTTCAAACATCCAGAATAGCGCCCACTAGTTGTTTTGAACAGAAATGAACTTTCTGCCAATTTCGAAAACACACTTTGAGTTTGCTGCTTTGCATTTATCTTGGTTTTTATTTGAACCGCGCGACGCAGATGATTCTGACACGAGTGCCTGCGGATAAAACAGCAAATGAATTTGAGAAGCTGAAATAGCAAGCTTCAGTACAGTATTTATTCAGAATGTTTTAAGAGTAGTATTTTGTTGTGCATTATTTATGAAAGTATAGTTTTCAATGGAATAAAATGTCTGTTTGACTATATCTAGGTTTCATTTGTCTTCTAAAACATGTTTTAATTAAAGTTTGACAATAGAATTTGTTAACACTTTACAACAGTTAATGTATTAACTAGCATGAACAAACAATGAACAATACACTTATTTCAGCATTTATTAATCTTTGTTAATGTTAGTTAATGAAAATGCATTATCGTTTATTGTTAGTTCATGTTAATTCACAGTGTGTTAACTAATGTTAACAAGCACGACTTTTGATTTTAATCATGCATTAGTAAATGTTGAAATTAACTCTAAGATTAATAAATGCTGTAGAGATATTGTTCATGTTAACTAAAGTAGTTCACTAATGAAACTTTTTGTAAAGTGTTACCTAGAATTCTTTTCTTCTGGATTTTTCGCCTTGTTGCCATTAAACAAAACCTGAAAAAAGCTCAGAGACAAAAGAGAAAATGATTATATCCTTGCTGTGATAGTTTCACCCATTAGTGGAAGCAGTCGGACCTGTCAGTCTGGACTCAGGAGGGAGGAAGGAACTTAATAGGAGTATGACTGTCTCATCAGATAAACAAAACTCATGTTAGAGTGTAAATATGTTTTACCTAGTAATACAAGCCTTAATTATGACATTTTTTGTTGAAATTAATAAAAGTGACACTGAATTTCTCAGTCAGGTCAGTCAAGATTAGTCTGAATTTTTATCTTACAGTATGTCTCAGTTGTAAAACACACAAGAAGGGTGTGACATAGCTACATACAAACTGCTCTGTGTCTGTAAAATGTACATCTAATCGTCATCATGTTAGAATGTGATAGGCACATTGTGACACCAGTCCAAATGTATGAGGGAATGCCAGCTGTGCTGGTGTGTGCCTTCTTTCATTTGTCTTTTCACAGGAGCAGTGAAAGAATGTCTGCTGGGTGGATCTTTGAGACGACAGAGTTTCAGTCTGTGAACATTTCAGTGAATGCTCTCTCCGACGCATGCAGTCAGTCAGCGCTTCAGCAGCATGGGGACTCTTTCTAGTCTGCTCTTTTTACTTCTAACTGTATACTCAGGTATGGCTTCTGATTCACTTGCTTCAATTGCGTTCATACATTTTTGGATTGTTAACATGCTTCCATGTTAGTTGTTTGTAATCTAGTTTGAAACAGCAGTTCTCACATTTTTAGGGTGACAAAATTCAATTGCTATTTCTGGTAAGAGTGATAAGATTTGGTGGAAATGCACACATATTTACATTACTTATGTAATTGAAATTGTAAATGTATATATATTTGAGTTTATATATACACTATATATACACCATTCAAAAGTTTGGGAATTATTTAATGTTATATGCTTCACGAGGCTGTGTGAAATTAATAAAAAGTACAGAATATTGTGAAATGAAATTATAGTTTAAAACAACTATTTTCAGCATCATTACTCTAGTCTTGTCAAATGATCCTTCAGAAATCATTCTAATATTCTTTTTTTTTTGTGATACTTTGATAAATGCAGCATTTATTTGGAACATGATAAATTACCTCTCACTTTTGATCAATTTAATGCATCACTGCTGAACAAAATAAAACAGAAAATAAATAAATAACCTAACCCCAAACTTCTGAACAGTGCTATATTTATTTGGGTTATGTGCTATTTTCGAACCCTTTCCATGACTTTGTAAGCGACTGTTAATTTTTAACCGACTTGTAATGTGTGTTGTGTAAACAACATTATTTTCCAGCACTGACAGTTTCAAGTATGGTGACATTTTAGAATACAGTGTGCTCTATTGTGAATTTCAATCATTTTGAATTATCTGCTTGTTCGATTGCATCATAAATATTATTACATTCAATATAAATGACATCAATTCACATATTTCTGAAGAATCAGACTTTTTTGTTTTTCTTTTGCAGTCAATGCGCTGAAGTGTTACGTGTGTGGCTCTGCAACATCAAATCAAGAATGTAACAAAAACCTTCAGGACTGTCAGGCTCCTCTGGACACCTGCATGACCACTGTAGGCACACAAGGTGAGCAGATGCCTTTGACATTAAAGCAGCTCAGTACTGATATGGGGAAATTCATGTATATGTCTTATGTGTGCATTAATATGCTTTGTTATAAAGGCCTCACTGAAGTAACATTTTAGAAGGGAAATATCTCTGTATTGTAAAATTAGCTATTGCATTTTATTTTGAGCGTTTAAAAAAAAAAACATCTGTGTCTGCATTGAAAAAACATTAGAAATCTTTTTTTTATTATTATTTATTATTATTACTACATCAAAATGTAACATACAACAATGAAAGTTATCATTAAGATTAATATTTTGAATAAAAATCATATATCTGCTGACCTTAGTTTCGGTCTCTGCTATAATAGCCTATTCAACGTCTTCAGAAACCAACAACATATGAAGACGTACAGATCATGTCAGAACATGGCATTGATGTTTATCATAAGCACAAATCATGTTGGCAGTACAGCACAAATGCCGATCGCTTTTATGTTAATACATATTTTACTAATTACTACTAATCACAAAATGTTTAATGTTTATTGAACCTGGAATATGCCTTTAAAATATTAAAAAGTTCACCCAAAAATGAAAGTTCTGTCATCATTTACCCTCATGTTGTTCCAAGCCTGTATGAGTTTTTTTTCTTCTGTTGAACACAAAAGAAGATATTCTGAAGAATGTTTGTTACGAAACCATTTTCATACTGTGAAAGCCAATAGAGTACAGGCAACTGTTTGTTTCCTAACTTTTTCAAAATATCTTCTTTTGTGTTCAACAGAAGAAAGAAACACATTTTTTGGGTGAACTATACCTTTAATATTTTAAAGGCATATCCTGGGTTCAATAAAAGTTAAGCTCAGTCATCAGTACTGACAGAATTTTTATTTTTACATTACAACCACTGTTCAACAATATATAGAGATCAAATCTATCAGTGATTAACACTTCATTTCTTGTGGAATCTTACCATTAGTCT